TGGAAATTATGCATAACATTTTAAGCTCGACAATAGGAAATAAATAGAGAGCTGTCCTACTAACCTCTTACGGTGGTGACTGCGTGAAGAGTTCTTACGCAGCAAAATCCTTAATTATCTTTTAAATTATAATTGAAAAGACCTCAGTACTCCAGCTGGACTCTTTCCAGAATTATGCCCCCCTTGTAGTTAAATCAAGAAATTATTACTTTACTCAAATTTCTTCATGTCTAACTTCAAACTAGTACATCATAAAAATATGACAAGGCTTATATTTCTAGCGTCCATGCTTTCAGAAATTATCTCGCCGACAGGCTTTGATGTTACCTTATTTAGTCTATCAATTGCTTTCAAGGCCCTGTCCTATTTTGGTTTGGGGGTCCTCCGCTGGCTCTTGTTACTGGGTCCGGTGGGGGCTGCGTTCGTTTGAACGCCCGCCTTTCCTTGTTGATCTTGTTTATCATATTTACTTCAAATTTCAAATATATGTTCATTTTTAACACCGACATCATATGTGATTAGATTAATAATTTTAACACCTGAATTTCTACGAGTATCTTCATTTTAAATTTGGAATTTATTTGCACTTAGTCATTATCTGTCATGTACAGACTCAATCAAACCGAATCTGCAATTTTCATGTAATTCTGTTGTGATTTATGCTTCCGAAGGATCACTTTGTTTCCACAATGGTCATGACCCTTCATTATGTTGCTAGGGTTCTAATCGGTAGGTGACGTTTGTATTGCTTGCAATACTTTGATAATTGTTATTTTTAAGTTGCCACCACGATTAATGGTTAAGTTTGCCATGGTTGATCATAGTGAGTTAAGTTGCCACAATACTAGTATATGTTGAAGTTACATAAAGTTTTGTTGTCAGTGATGTTGCCATTTTTGTTGTGTCAGTGACTTCATTTTCAGCTCCATGGCTATGTTGCCACAACTTATGATTTCAGTTTCAATTATTAATGCTTAGTTAAGTCGCCATAGTTTAAGGTTAGTTTTGTTGCAACTTATTAAGTGTTAAGTTGCATAAAATTTAAGTTCAGTAGCAAGTACCATAGGTTGGTATCCACCTTAGGTTGATATTTACCCCAATGCTATGATGCAGGTATTTGTTAGGGTCTTTCCAAATATGAAAGACATCGGTCAATAGATAAATACAGGCTGTATAAGGAAAATATAACATCATCCCTGTAAACATGCAGTGGTTGGGCCAACCACGGAAAATCGTCAAAGGAAAATCGTTGTTGGGCCATCGTTGGCCCAACACTAATTAACATGTACTATAAATCAAGTTGTTGGCCCAACGTCGAACCAACCATAAGTTAACGCCAGCGACATTTCTGCATTGGCCCAATAACGATAAATATGTACTTTAAAACAGATGTTGGGCCAACGTTTGACCAACGATACATTTTCGTCAAATATATTACTGCACCTGACCCAAATTTTTTTTTCTAAAGACATATATGAATGTAGATATTTTACTGTATATAAACAGTACACTACGATGAGTAAAGACAAAAGTTTATAAAGTTTTTTTTGAAGCCATGTTTCAATATTGTCACATTCAAGAAATACTCATATAAATTAAATCAGAAATGTACGCAAGAAATAATTACTTTGTGAGTCTAGAAATGACCAAAGCCCAGGCTATGCAGTAGTAGGGGATGCATTTATATAAATCTATAGAAATCTTGAAGATCTGATGTATAATCTAAGGCAATTATACATGTGCTGAAACATATTAACCATCCTAAATGTTTACAATAAACCTCCGGAATCTTCCACTCTAAACTCTAATTAACCTCTGGTTATGTAATCAATGGATCATTTTGGCACTACCCATCCGTTCCCTCCCTTGATTTCAAGCTGCGTGGACGTGTTTACAGATATATTTAAATAAATTTGAATTAGACTGCAATTTCTCAACACTGAAAAATGTAAGTAGATCTAGAGTTTTTACTTTAATCTTTAAAATAAACCCTTCTAATATATTAATGTATTTAAACCTGCAGGAATTAGTGTTTTAAAACCTGTTATACTATCCACGTGACCAGGTCATGTGATTAATACAAAATGGCGGATTAGTAATGGAAAATACTTTGATGTTTTCAGGTAAACAAGCCAGAATGAATTTGATTTTTGTAATGAAATTAAAACCATTTAATTATATCAGTGTTAATGAGCTTAAAATATGATAAGTGCATAATTTTACATCTGAATTTATTGTGATAACTGCAAAAAATCTTTGATAAGTTGCAAGTTAGTACAAACTGACAAACTACAATTAGCACTGTTAAGCTCATACAATCTGCTCTGAGTAATAAATAGGTAATTTATATTAATATGTTTGGTAGTGGTATACGAAACTTTGTGTAAATTTAATTTAAAGTGTAACTTCGCATTAAACACAAATTACTTTACCCGACTGCAAAATTGTTTTTATTTCATTTCAGACAGCAAATTTATGTCTAATTGGGAGAGCAATGTTCGCCGTGTTATGTCTCACACTGTGTCTCAGGAAGTTGCCCTAGAATACAACTGGGTTGGAAAAGGCTCGAAAAAACCATTCGATAAACTTAGACTTAAAACAGTCATATAAGGTTTGTATTTTTACTTTTTCAAAGTTGATTTCGCCGGTGCTAAAAATTTATTTTACACCGTGGGTGTAAGATATGACTCTTGCGTTGTAAATGATCATCATGACTCTGTTTGCATTTTGACAGAATTTTGCCTCTTTTTAACTTGAAAATTTTAGGTTAAAATTTTTAATTATGTCAAATATCTCTGTTACTATTAAATCTATTGACTTGTAGTTTAAAATATTTCTTTACTATCAAAGTCTTATCCCTTAGCTCTGTTTGCAGTTTTTCAGTTTTATTTGCCTTTAAACTAGTAAATCTAATTAGTAGTGTATATTTAAATAAAATCAGTAACCTGTATAAATTTCAGATGCTGTAAGAGGAAGTAGACAGGGGTCTACTCATAATGAAATCGAGAAGACAATGAAGGAGTGGCTAAGATATGCCAAGGATAGGGAAGGTGGGCGGAGGAAGAGACTGACTAAAAAGTTGCAACAACAAAGAGAAGAAAATGAAAATGATATGTGAACAACATTTAGAAATAAATTGTAGTAATTAGAATATTTATGTTCTTTTATTTTACAGTCTCTCTGAATTCTAGGAGACATGCTGTTTTTGGTCTTGTCATCTGAGGGGCCAGCGTTAGTAGTAAGAAACAAGTAATTGGGCCAATGGAGGGCCAACAATAAGAGTAGGAAACAAAGTGATAGGCCAACTGAGAGCCAACTTAGATAGTAGAAAATAAGGCATTGGGCCAACAAAGGGCCAATGTTTATTATAGGAAACCAGTCAGTGGGCCAACGGGGGGCCAACAATAAGAAGGGAAATCAGTTGTTGGGCCAACAGAGGGCCAACGATAGGAAGGAAAACCAGTCATTGGGCCAATGGAGGGCCAACGATAAGAGTAGGAAAGCAGTTGTTGGGCCAACCATATACCAACCGTTGGCCCAACGTTGCCCCAATTAGCAAATTGACATTGGGCCAACGTTGGCATTATGTGTTGGGCCAACAAAGCAAATGTAATTGGCCCAACGTTGGGCCAACTACTGTCTGCTATCTGGGATATACCTTTATTAGGAAATAATTCGAAAACAACGAAAGTTAGAATTATTTATCAGTGCCTTTCTACATTCTTATTGCCTCACTAGTTTCATGCAGCATTTTTTTTTATTTTTGTTATTTATTTGCTTTTTAAAAAAAAAATTATTATTATTATAATAATGATTATTATTTTGGAGAAGGGTAAGGGGACTATGCACAATGTGGTGCCAAAATTTGCTCTCAATGGACAGCCAGACAAACGGAATGACGTCGACTACATGCCCCATCCCTTCAATAAAGTCGGTGCTTTAGGTACAGTATCTAATGATAGTCTGGTTCAAAGTTTTCTACAGGCTTGTGTAATTTAAGCTCCAGTGATTTGCAGAAAATGTTTTTGATGGTTATTTAGCTAGGGAACTCCGATCTGCTCCGCACGATCATCGGAAAATGCCGATATCTAACAGTCTGTAATGGTCTTCTATGCAGGTTATAAATTTTCAATATTGATCGATAAATCAAAATGGTGCACAGTGAGACAACCTACGTTATATATCCGAAGCGCGTGTGTAAATTAAAGGGAAATAATACGTGCTAAACTGTCACAGGAAGTACATACTATATTTTAATGATTAGGTGAATCATAGGGAAATTGTGTAAAGTGCGACTTATACATGTACTAATAATCTGTTCATTTCACGACAAATTGACAAACGATTTTAGATTTACATATAGAAGCCGTATATTTTTGAAATGACGGAGACAATGAGAAAATTGAAGGATAGGGAGTACAATCATATGAACACAATACAAGTTATATTTAGGCTAATTTAATCTTGTTTCTCGTTTTCATGAAATTCTACAGTAGGCGCATAATGCATTTTAGTACAAAAATACCATAGTATTAAATATATACGTATAGCAATTAAATTGTTTCAAAATTTTGTCTTAAATCTTATGGGTTCCTGTTTATTATCTTAGGCACAAAAATGAATTATTTTACATAAATACTATGGTATAAATTTATACTTAAGCAATGAGACAAGGCATATAGATCTGTTTTCAAAATTTTGTCTTAGGTCTTGTGGATACCCATTTCAGCTATTTCCGGTACACTTCCGACACGGGATTGATGCTCTTTCAGTAATGATCTGCCTTCGAATGGGTCCACATTAACTAACAAAGCAGTGAGTAATGACAGACCATCATAAATTGCAAGATCACCAAGTGAAAGCTGAAAATATAAAGAAAATAATCGCCTCAATTGACGAACTTTGCGTCAAAAGACACACATTTGCATAAAGTTCATATTGCATGCAATCTGCTGTTTCTTTTCTAAACATAGCAAAAGAAGGTATATTTAGTAATTTGGTGGCAACTCACAATGTACATGTATATAAATTATATAAAAAAAAGAATAAAAATATTTTTATTGTATCTAAAAGCAACGAAGAAGAAAAGTGGAAATGACATATTTAGCAACTGTTTATTTTAAGCATTGATAATTACATCTAGTTTGATTCATTTGATTACATTTATTATATTTGATTTTGTACTTCACATAGAGGCGGCGAGGGTAAATACTCCCCCCCCTCCACCCAAAACACACACACGCGCGCGCGCGCGCTCGCACACGCACGCACCCTTCGTTCAACTACTTAGAGCGGCAGTAATGTTCATGTTGGTGTAAATTTACAAATACATGTATTTCACATGATCATTACAATCGCTGTATATCAAAGGGAATAAAATTACCTTGTCACCAACAAGAAAACCTTTACCATCTTTGTTTTCTTTTAGTCGCATCTCGAGGAAGGTCAGATATTTTTTCATAGGTCCCTCAACAAATGTTTTAACGAGTTTGTTCTGTAAAAAGAGTATGTAAAATACAATTGTTTTCATGGTAAAAGGTTATTAAATATACTAAAAATTGTGCATATAAAAAAATGATATTTTTTTCATGAAAATTCTAATTTTTAACTCTTGTCATGGGAGTACTCCAGTCAGGAGACTACCCACTGTACTGATGAACTCTCCGCTCAAGAGACAGCGCACGATGCCACCCGGGATCCAATGATGGATGAAGACGACCCCCTCCTAGAGCTACTGAATTACTCGCAGGACACTAGCAGCCAACCACAGGAGCAAGAGGCCGTCCCTGACCGACCACGCCCGATGCCTACCACAAGAACACCCAAGATCAAGTGGCCCAAGACATCTGAGAAGGCACCATGGAAACAGTTTGACGAGGACATAGAAATCATCCTCGAATCATCCATGCAAGGTCCAGTACACCGGAAGTTACACACCCTTTCCACCCTTGTATACTCTGTTGCAAGGGAGAGGTTTGGGATTGAAGAAACAAAGAAACGCAAGGAAGCTCTAAAGCCGAACCGGAGGCAACACCGCATAGAGAACCTGAGGAAAGAAATCAGACAGCTGAAGAAGCAGTACCGAGACAGCTCACAAGTGCAGCGCCTTGCCTGTCCCAACTACGTGACACACTGCGCACACAGTTGAAGTCTCTGCGGCGAGCTGAGAACAAGAGGAGAAAAGCGAGGGATCGAACAAGAAAGAGAGCTGCATTTACAGCCAACCCATACAAATTTGCAAAGACTCTGCTTGACAAAGAGCGTTCAGGAACATTAGAGACCCCACTTGAAGAGGTTGAGAAGTACCTGCATGATACGCATTCAGATGTCAACAGAGAAGACGCCCTAGGGGACTGTGACCGGATAGATCCTGCCTTACCTCCAGAGACGCCACTGGTAACCACTGAACCCACTTTGGGAGAGGGTGAAGGACGTCGTCAAGAAGGCTCGATGGGGCTCTACTCCTGGTCCTAACGCCATCCCGTACAAAGTGTACAAGATGTTGCCCACTCCTACTGAAGAGGCTATGGAGACTCCTCAAAGGTGGTTTGGAGGAAAGGGGAAGTACCAGAAGCCTGGAAGGAAGCAGAGGGAATATTCACGCCCAAGGAAAGGAACTCCAAGTCAGTCAATCAGTTCCGGGACCATCTCGCTACTAAATGTCGAGGGGAAGATATTCTTCGCTATCCTGGCCAGAAGACTTACCTCTTTCCTGACGACCAACGCGTACATCGACACTTCAGTCCAGAAGGGTGGAGTACCTGGTTTCTCCGGTTGTGTAGAGCACACCAGCGCTATCACCCAACTAATTCAAGAGGCGAAGACGGGGAAGAAAGACTTGACAGTAGTTTGGCTCGATCTTGCCAACGCATACGGATCTATTCCCCATCAGCTGATCTTCCCTCATTATCAAGAAAGGCAAGATGACAGACAGATTTGTGCTCCGAGTACAGAACGAGGAGATCCCATCCATCACGAATAACCCAATCAAGTGCCTTGGGAAGTGGTTTGATGCCAGCCTAGTAGACAAGGACAACGTCAAGAAGCTAGAGAACCAGGTAGAAGACGGGCTGAAGAAGATAGACCGGAGCAACCTACCTGGGAAGTTCAAGGCCTGGCTGTACCAGCATGCCTTACTACCAAGGCTGATCTGGCCAATGATGCTGTACGAGGTACCCAGCTCAACAATAGAAGCCTTAGAGAGAATCACCAGCCGACATCTTCGCAAGTGGCTTGGAATTCCACCCAGTTTCTCCAGTGTTGGACTGTATGGGAAAACCAACAAACTGCAACTCCCACTATCTTCACTGGTAGAAGAATTCAAGACGGCGAAGACAAGACTGGTGCTTACCCTAAGAGACTCCCCAGATGAGCAGATCCGGGAAGCAGGGATCGTTACCCGTACTGGAAGAAAGTGGTCAGCGACAGAGACTGTCAGCCAGGCGGAGAGCTCTCTCATGCACAAGGACATCGTCGGTGTAACGGCTGTCGGACGACAAGGTATTGGTGCAACCAAAACACTCCTATGGAGCCAAGCCAACCAGACTGAGAGGCGAGCCCTGATACAGTCAGAAGTACGGAAGGAAGAGGAGAACAAGAGACAGGCCAGAGCGGTAGAGATGGGTGCGCAGGGTGCATGGACAACGTGGGAAACCATGGAAAGGAAGCTGACCTGGGAAGACATCTGGAAGTATGAACCACTTCGTCTATCCTTCCTCCTCAGGTCAGTTCATGACCTCCTGCCATCTCCAGCTAACCTCTGCCGATGGGGACTAATCACAGACCCAACATGCAGTCTGTGCAAGAAACCAGGCACTCTGGAACATGTTTTATCTTCCTGCTCCACAGCACTGACGCAGGGCAGATATCGCTGGCGACACGACAACGTCCTCAGAGAGGTTGCCGATTGGCTGGAAGGGGAGAAGAACAAGCCACGCAGAAGTAACTCACAGGCAGGCCACATCAACTTTGTGAGACCGGGTGAAACTGCGAAGACAGAAGCTTCACAGAAGAAATCGATCCTTGACGGCGCCACAGGATGGAATATGTCAGTCGATCTAGGAAAGAAGCTTGTGTTCCCGGGTATCGTCCAGACCAACTTGAGACCAGACATTGTACTGTGGTCCGAGACAGGGAAGAAGCTCGTTGTCATTGAGTTGACAGTACCTTGGGAGACGAGATGTGAAGAGGCCTATGAGAGGAAGAAGGCCAAGTACACTGAACTACTTGAGCAGTGCCGACACCGAGGTTGGCGGACTTGGCTATTCCCCATCGAAGTAGGCGCTAGAGGGTTCTGTGCACAATCTGTATGTAGATTGATGACAGCTGTTGGCACCACTGGCAGAGACAGGCGACGGGCAATCCAGAAGCTGAGCCAGGCTGCTGAGCGGGCGTCTAGCTGGCTGTGGCTACGACGCGAGGAGTCAAGCTGGATGCGATCAACCTCCACACCGTAAGACGGTGGGCCCACCCGCCATTACAGATGTACTTGGATAAGGGCCGAAACATCTGGCGGGCACCAAGCTGACGATGGAGGAAGATCCGCAGTCGAGAACCAGACCTCAGAAAGGTGCGTTTAAGACTGTATTATCCACATGTCTGGTATAACATATGTTCTCATATGTACCGGAAATATGAATGCAAATAATTACTTACTGGAAACGTCTTACACAATCAGTAAACGTTTCCAGCAGTGGATCCATAAAATATACTTTCGTAAAAATACTGGCATCGTATAAAACAATAATCTAGCTATGAACAACATGTACATTGACTTCTCCAGTTAAATTTTGTTACATGTAATAAAGACAGTTTACCTACATTATAAAA